CATCACCCTTCTTTTTGGGTCCACAGGCCTTGAAAAACAAACCTTTGCTAATGTGGAAACCAAGCCCCAATGGATCTCGGTGGGGCAGATTGCCCTGCTCTGAGTAGCGGCTGCCCATGAAGATCAAGCAGGACTGTTTGCACAAACCTCATGCAAAGAGACAGTGATAGCTTCTCCTAAAATTTAATCGGCAATCCTCAGGAATTAATTTAGCAAGAAGTGCTCACTCATGGACTAAATTTATGTCCTCCATCCTGAGAAGCTCAGGGTCCACTTTTCATCCGGAAACCGACAGGAAGGAAGGCGTGTTGGTCTGGAAATGGGCCAGAAGGTGGTGGCTTGTGAGTTCCTGTGATGCTAGAAGCTACACTGTTCATATTTCAAACACTCTCAGGGTCGTCCATGGAAGACAGAGGTCGGTGGCACTGCCAGACTAAAACAGACCAGGAGGAGAGGACCTCGAAGTCTACTTCTAAATATTGGCTAGAGAAAGCTTTCTGCATAGAAATGGAACATTGTCCGAGAGAGTGCCAGGAGACGAGCCTCTTGTGTTGGAAGCCCTTAAGAGAGCCTGAGGGGCCCAGCTGCTTCCTCAAAGTACAGTTGACCCGAATGATATGAAGGAGTGAATGCTTTCAGGACCTTCATTTCCTGCTTTGGCACAGCTCAAACTAAGGAGAAATACCTGCACATGATCGGAACATGCAACATACAACGTCTATTCTAGAAAAACTGGTCTCGGTCAAAAATTAGATGGCCTATAGAAAGATCAATATCCTAGACATTAACGGACAGAAATGGACTAGTATTGGCCATTTTGAATCACAGGGACAATTACGCCTGGAATGGCAAATTGAAGAGGACTAGTATCACATTCATCGTCAAAAGGAATAGTCAAAGTCCATCCTGAAGTACCACACCGTCAATGATAGAGTCATCGGCCTACAAAGTGATCAGTTAACATAACTATTACTCAAACTTACCTACCACTAATGCCAAAGATGATGAGTTTAAGGTTTTTATCACCTTCTGCAATTTAAAATTGACCAAAGACGCACTTAAACTGCATTGATGATCACTGATTATTCTTAGAATGAGAAAGTTGGAAACAATGGATGAGTTCATTGGAAAATATAGGGTCTTGATGACAGAAATGATGCTGGAGATCACGTGAAAATGTTTTGCAAGACCCACAACCTATTCAGTGAAAGTGCCTTTTATCAACAACATAAAAGGTTACTATACAGGAATCAAATCAACTATATCTCTGGGAAGAGATGATGGAGAAGCTCACTATCATGAATCAGAACAAGGTAAGGGGACAACTGTGGAACAGACCCTTAATTGTTCAACTGTAAGTTAAGGTTGAAGCTAAAGAAAACCAAAAAAAGTCCGTAAGAAACAAAATATGGTCCTTAAAGATTTGCCAATTTAGTGTAGAGACTATTTTGATAAAAGATTTGTCACCATGAACACTAAAGGCCCCAAACCAGACAAGGTGTAGGACGTTCAAGGGTCTCATTCACAAGGAAAGCAGGGATCACTGCGAGAGTTAAGCTTTGTGTCAACTTGGCTGGGCCAGTGTTCTCAGTGATCTGACCGCTAAGGTATAGTAATCGTCATGATAAGAAATCCCTGTGGGGGTGTGAGCTGCTTCCAATATTAGCGGATGCTATGGAAGAGCGTGGTTGCTTTTTAATGAGTCTGGCTTCTGCATCTGGCTAGTCATCTGACCTCTGGTCCTTCAGACATGAGGCAGCAGCCTGCTGTGTTGCCTGCTGTTCCTGAGAGTTGTCAGCAGCTTGCCATCTTACCTGTTGACCTTGGATTCATTGACCTCTGCAGCCAGAAGCCTGCTGTCTGAGTGCCATCTTGGGTTCATCGGCACCTGATACTATATGAGTCAGAGGGAGCCTCCAACCTGACCTTTGACCCACAGACGTGAACTTTCTCAGCACTGTAGCTATGTGAGCCATTTCTTTGCATGTATACAAACTGTTTCACTGGTTTTGCTTAAGATCATCACTAAAAGAGCAAAAAGGAAACGTTAAAAATAGATGTCAGAGGAAACTCAGAAACTTCCTCTTGAATGTACAGTAGCAAAAAGAGAGAGAAGATTTTAAGGAGAGGTCAGAGAAGACAATATAAAGTATTATAATGAAATGTGAAAGACCTGGAGTTAGAAGATAAAAAGGAAAGGCATGTTTAGCATTTCCTAAGCTGAAAGAAGAAAAAAAATCAAATCTTGAGTTTCAATACTGAAGGATTCAATGGGCAAAATATTGAATGACACAGGATGCATCCAAAGAAGACGGAAGGTGTTTTTAGGGCAGTGGGTGGGGAGGTATGATTTTCAGTATATCCAGGAAAGGTAAATCTAGAGAGGCAGTAACTAGATTAAGGTTATGACAGGGGAAGTGGGGAGGGGAGGGGAGGAGCTAAACATGAGTACAAGAATAAAGAAAATGTTCTATAATTGATTATAGTAACAATTGCATGACTTCTAAAAAATATATTTAAACCACAGAATCATATGGTTTGTGAATTATATTTCACTAAAAATTATTCTTCAAAGAAGATGGTAGGAGTCACAGTCATTGTACCAAAAAGAATTGGTCAATGGTCAATAATTTTCAGCTGCGAACATATGATCAAGAGCTAAATGGGACTGGAGGAATAAGTCCAAGCTATCCTGAAGGCACTGGTGGAAAGCAAAGCAGAATACCAAAACAGATGTTTCGGTGAAAGAACGAGATGCTAAAAGCACTCATAGGTCTATGCCGAGCCTTTGGGAACACCGATCCAATCCTGCGTCCATCGCAGAGAAAGATGATCCAAGAGAACACAGAAATCATTGAATACAGCTACACGCCGCAAAATTTTCCTGAAGATCATTCAAACATGCTTGCAGTAGTACATCAACGGGAAATTCAAGGTGGGTGCGGAGAAGAAATGCAACAAAGGCTGTTGTTGCCGATGTCACAAAGATTGGCCGAGAGCAGCGAATACCAGAAAGATGCTTACCTGTATTGTACTGGATCAGAACAAATTATGGACAACATCGCACACAATGCAAATCGCAAACAATTATGCTCATGCAGAACTTGTATACGGGAGGCAGGGAGCGGGGTGGAGAATAAACAAAAAGCTGACCAAGAGGCAAACAGAACAAGGGCTATATCGTAGCATTTAAAATAAGGACTGGTGTGTGTCCATTTGTAGCCTTCCCCCAGACTTCCTCGGTCGTAGGCTGATTAGTCAAATGATCCCTGAAGCTGGACTCGGTAAAGAAGAATGCGGCCTGAGAATGGAAGGAGGACGCATTCACAATGGGTAATATGCAGAGGGCACAACGTGTCTTGCTGAAAGTGAACAGGACTTGAAGCATTTAGGGATGGAGGTCTGAGACCACAGCCTTCAGTATGGCTCACACCTCAACCTGGAAGAAAACAAAACTCCTCACAGCTGGGCCAATAAGCAACAGAGAGGACATGGACTTGGATTCATGGTCAGTGCCCATGAAAGCAGCTGCGAAGAAATCAAATTCCTTACTGGACTGGGCAAATCTGCGGCCCAAGACCACTAAAGCAGCGGTTCTCAACCTGTGGGTCGTGACCCCTCTGGGCGTCCAACGACCCTTTCACAGGGGTCGCCCGATTCATAACAGGAGCAAAATGACAGTGATGAAGTAGCAACGAAAATAATTTTATAGTTGGGGGGTCCCCACAACATGGGGAACCATATGAAAGGATTGTGGCCAGAGGGAAGCTGAGAACCACTGTGCTACAATAAGGAAGAGCAAGGCTGTCCCTTTGAGAACGAAGGTGCACCCGCCCCAAGTCATGGCATTGTCAACCACCTGATAGGCAGGTGACCGCTGGACAAGAACTAAGGAAGACCAGAGAAGTGACAGTGTTGGTGACGAATACTGACTATCTCAGGGACTGGCAGAAGAAGGAAGAAACCTGTCTTGGGAAAAGTAAGACGTGCGGCTGGTAAGACTTCCCCTCACATACTTTGGGGATGTCATCAGGGCACGAGTGCTTGGGAAAGGACACGATGCGTGGCAAAGTAGAGGTAAGTAAAAAAGAAGACCACTCCCAAGAAGACAGACTGACACATGCCCGCGACAACGGACACACACAGCAACAATGGTGCGGCAGGTTCGTTCTTCTGTACGTAGGCTAGCATGAGTCAGGGCCAAATGAACAGCATCGATCAATAAAAGCAGGAGTTGGGGGAGGCTTGTGGACAAATGTCTGGAAATCCTTTTCTCATGAATTCTAGAGATGCCCAAAAAAATGTCCTTGCCTGTCCCGTGACCTCAAGCTTGCTAGCAAGGGGCACTGTGGAACGAGAGGAATTTACTAATCTTTTCGGTGCAAGATGCGGGTAGGCTCAGAAACAAAGCTGTCAGGGCAGAATGCGCAGGTCTACACAGTGGGAGCTGCTGAGATCTCCCTGGGAGAGTCAGGAAGGTCAGGGTTCTCAGGGGTAAAGCTTCCTCACCTCCCTCCTGCAGCCCCCTACTCCCTCCTCTCTTGGACCATCTGCCGCTTCCTTGCATCTTGTGAGCTGCACTTTCTGTTCACCGTGGATGGTAACTTTCTGGCAAAAATGGATGATTTGTTTAACTCAGAACTTTAGGTGAGCAGATTCTTGGTTGCTGTATTGGTGTTCGACATGAAGAGATGGTTGAGTTCCTACAATCTACTCACCTGCTATCTAAATATTATTACTTGTGGCTACGTATACAGAAGTAGAAGATAAACCTTTCCCATCCAGCTAGTGTCCCCATACTTTAGCCCTGGGCTGGAGAGATGAGGGGGCTTAAAAATTGCTGGGAAAAAACGCATTATCTTTCCATTCCATCTTTCTACAGACTTTAGGAAGCGTGCCGCCGCTCTCCCGACAGGACTAGCAAAGAGGAAGCTTCCATTGCTATGGAACCCCAAGTGAGCCTGCATACTGAGCTCTTCGGGCACGCAGGCCTCACCCACCTTTTCGGCTATTAAGAAGTCATAGCGGAGGGCCTCCCGGGTGCAGATGGCGCCAAGCAGGAAGACAAACACGATGTACAAAAACCACCTGTAAAGCCAAGAACAGAGTGAAGCTGCCGCCTGACCAGCACCCACCCCAGCCCCCACCTCATGGCAAACAACGTTGGTATCCCACGTGAATCCGCTTCAGAATTAACGAGAAAGGCCAGTCCTGACGGTCCGTCCGCTCAGTGGTCTGGGAGGGCATTTAATAAGGTGACCAGATGTTAACCTTGGTAAAGCGGGACAAAAGCGGGACACCATTGATAAAACTCATAGCCTGGCGAAATAGCCACATGGCAGCCGAAAACTGTCTACCCTAGCTTGTCGTGCATTCTTTCCAAAACTTGGGGCTTTTTTAAAACGCCACGGGAAAAATTGTTAAAAATCGGGACTATCCCGCCAAAAGCGGAACGTCTGGTCACCTTAAATTTATAAATAATTTATATCATCTCTAAAAAAGCTTCTGACCCCGCAAATAGTGCCATGGTTGTATCTTTCTTACATTAAAGGAGAAAACCCATTCACGTGGGTGTAGGGAGAGGCCCCAGGCCGGCAGTGTCAACCTGGAACTTCACGCCCCACAGTCTTCCCACAACAGACAAACAAGTCAGGGACGTCTCAGGCCTCTGGAGCCCTGCTCTTCTCTGGAGTGCAGGCAATGGAGAGTGGAGGGAAGGGTGGAACCAACTGGCAGAGCAGTGGCCTGGCTCCGCCCTCAAGATGCCATGTGATCTTAAACAATTCAAGATCCGTCTGAGCAGTCGCAGCTGGGTCAAACATTCCTCCCCAGCTGTGCAAAAGTAAGACCGTCCGATCCCAGCTTCCTCTGTTCACGTTCTCATTCAGCATGCTTTTCCCTTCATTGACTCGTGAGCCAACTTATTTTGTTGCCTTCATTTCCTTCCCAACTCTCAGAATTCACACTCACTGCCACTGAGTCGACTCGGACTCACGGTGACCCTCTAGGGCGGGGTAGAACTGTCCTGGTGGGTTTCCGGGGCTGTAAGTCTTTACAGGAGTAGAAAGACCAGTCTTCCTTGGTTTGGAACCGCTGATCTTACTGTGAACAACCCAACATATAACCACTATGCCATGAGGGCTCCTTATTTAGCATAAAATAAGACCGCTGCAATGCACCCGCTAGTAAAGTGTGCGACGTTACAATAAATTAAGAACAAGTCAGCCTTTGTGAAATGGGTAGATGAAGTTTTCTACAATATCATGGCCACCATAAGATCATGCACGTCCACTTTTCAGGAGCTTGTCCTGTGTGTGTTTTGGCGTGAACCTCTTCCCAAATAATGGGCTGAGGAGTGGTGGAGAGGGAACCGCACAAGGCAGGCGAGACACAGTCTCATGGTATGGAGGGAAAACAAATACCTGGTCAGAACAGACCCTAAGCCACGGTGCCTGCTGCTGGGAGCCGCTCAGCCTCAACTAAACGCGACGAAGGCCGGCCACACAGGAGTGGAGGAGGAGGCTCAGCTCGGGAGAGGAGGTTCATACCATGGTTCCTACTCTGCCTTTTCACACAGCATCTCATTGAATCCTCCACCATCGGTGAGATGCAAGAACTGCTAGGCAGAATAGGGACTGGGGCGGGGAGGGGGGTCTCCCCAAATGCCTGCAGAGGGCTACAACAAAGGGGGCTGCAGGGAAATCAGGCACCCACATTAGACACCTATGGGAAAATCCAGACAGAGTGCTCAACCGGAGACCCAGGTTGGAAGGTCCACCTGGGCACACAGAGGATGGACCAGCCACATGACATCACCCAGATGTGCTTAAATTCAGCCAGTAAGGTCGGCCAATACACTGAACCAGGCCTCCCCAGCCAGCGGGGAGAAAGGCACGCTGTGGACAGGACAGGCCCTCTTTCTCTCTCTCTTGCCCCCTGCAAGCTGAGGGTGCGTGTGCCAGCCTGCGTGCCCTCTCGGCCTCTGGGGCTTTCCTGGATCCGAACACGTGGCCTTGTGCTCCGCTTCCTGTCTTCTTTCCTTCCACATGGTTTTCGCGTGCAGCCCTGAACTCCCGCGTGGTTCCCGCGACGACGCAGAAACAGCGGGTGCTTTTTGAGGCTATGCTACCTGAAACTTCCCTTTCTCTCATCAAAGTCACTTAGATTCCAAAAGCGCTTCTGCCGCTTGGGTTCTTTCAGCGTTGCGAAGCGAGGACCGTAGTATCCCAATCCAGAAACCCAACGGTACCGGTATCCTGATGGATGCCACAGCCGGGGAAGCTGAGGCGCTGAGAAGTGAGGGAAGGGCTGTGTCAGACAGCCAGTCCGCCGCAGAGTGGGGAGGCCCGTCCTAGTCCGTTTGTTGGCAGACGTCCCACCTCTAGCCTCCTTCCAAAGATCCTGAAACTCAATGGTTAAGGGGGGGAAATAATCCCAAAGTCCAAACTGGAGCTGGGAGGGAAGGGGCAGGAGGCGAAGGAAAAAGCACAGAATGGATTGGGGATCTGTGATCCATGTTCATGCCATCCCTCCCCCAGGCAGCATGCCTAGGCAGCGAGGCTGAACCCACCAGACAGGAATTTTCCAGGGCTAGGGAGTGTTAAAAGGAGGAGAGGAACATGAAATGGGCCGGTCACAGTCGGGCACTCTCCCCTCCACTGCCAGGCGTTTTCTCACCCTCTCGCCAACTTACGAGATGCCAACCGCTGCTAGGGAGCCCAGGGGGATGCTGGCAGCTGGCTCCCTGAGGTCGCCCCCCATGTTGAAGCCGGCCATCACTCCTGAGAGACAGACAGATAAGAGAGGGGTGAGGCAAGGTCCTATCCGAATCAAGGTGCCCCCCCCCTTCCCCAACCTCTTCCTCCAAGGACTGCCCCTGGAAGCCTTCCAGGGTCAAGCCCTCCCATCTGCAGTTCTGCAAACAGGCCGCTTGTCAATCTCCCCGGACAACTGGGGAGCATCCATAAAAGGGACCTATGTGAACCAGGGGGTGCTGGGGAGAAAAGCCCCGCCCGCTACAAAAACATCTGATCACCCTACGGCGTAATGCGGGTGGAGTGATACCTGCACACCACACAAGGGTCCCAAGACCAGACAGCATCTGAGCTCTGCCTGCCTCCCCAGCCAGGACAATGCCCCAGGCAGGAGCCAGGATCCCAGGAGCAAACCCCTTCCCAAGACTCCGGCTCAGCAGACTGCCTTCATCCAGCGCCCCATGGATCACACCTGCGGTTTCAGGTGTCCTTACCCCCGGGTGTCATCTCAACCAGGACCAAGAACTACACTCAAAGCTCCAGATGGCTCTAAACAAACCCCAAACACAACCCTCTTCATCTTCACCTCAATTCCCCCAAGAGAACAATGACAACTATTCGACCCAGGATGCCTGAACTTCTGTGCACAGAGCAGGGTGCTGGTGCTGGGGGAGGAGGGGTGCTGCTGTAAATACTAAACGAGGAGCCAGCTCCTCAGGGCTCTCGGGACTCAACCAGATAGACTGCGCCGGCCAGGAGAGCATCACAGAGGAAGTGGGTGGGGCCCGAAGGTGGCTTTGAAAGGCCTTGACTAGGTTTAGGGCTAGGAGTAGGTGTGACTCGTGATTACAGATGGATGAGCACCTGCAACCTGGTGGAGTCTGTGCCAAGGGTGAGGCATGCGTTTTTAATGTTATTTAAGCCTCAGAACAACCACAACACATAAGCAGCAGCATTTCCCCATTTTAACAGAGAGGAAACCAGGGCTTCAATGAGGTTAAGGAAAACAGCCCCAGGTCACATGTTTTGCAAGCAGAAAAGCTAGAGTTTGAACCAAACACGGTGTGTTTGACCCCAAAATGTATACTCTTTACCCTCTACTATGCCGCCTGGAAGCACCCAGGGGAAGGGAAGGAAAGCAGAGCTATTCCAGAGGGAAGCTGGAATGTTGGACCGAGACTGGAGGCTGCATCCAGCTTCCACACAGCTATCCCACCCCTGGCATCTGATCAGAGAGATGAGCAGAGATCTCACCCAAGAGGTTTGCCCATGCTTACTGATAGTAGTGAGCGCTGAAAACAACCTCGCGAGAAACAGGGGCCTGGTTGGAGAAGTGATGATACATCTTTCAAGAAATATCCAGTCTCCAATAGGATACTGTTGTCAGGGAGACGTTGTAATGTGGAAAGCTATTTATAAGCTATTAGTGAATTTTAAGAGGCATTTTAGGAAATAGAACATTGGTGTGATGTAATTATAAATGATAGATTTAAAAACAACAACCAAGGCCCAAACTCACAGCTATTGAGTCAACTCCAGCTCCTGGGACTCTAAGAGACAGAGAATGGCCCGTGTGGGTTCCTGCTACTGGGAAGCCTCCATCTTCCTCCAGAGGAGGAGTGGATGGATTCAAACTGCTGACCTTGTGGATAGCAGTGCAGCGCATAATGTGGTATGCCACTGGGGCTCCTAGATCATGCAATGAGGAATTTTGAAATGTCAGCAATGTGGTTTCTGGGTGATGGAAGTACAGAGGATTTCTCATTTATGTATTTTTTTCCATAGTAATCGTATGTGACCTTAGAAATGGGGGGGGGGGGAATTTAAGACATTGCTTAAAATGATAGGCTGAGTCCATTTTCTTTCCTAACATCCCATCCCCAAGATCCTATGAAGTGAATACTAAAAAGGCGAATGAATAAATGCCGATAGCCAAGATAAGAGGAGGAGGAGCTCTGAGTAGATGAACGGTTTCCAAAAATATCTGGAACAGAGTAAATTGTGACAATTAACACAGAGAACAAGGAAAGAAAAAGGAAGCCTTAGAGCATTTCACTAAGGCATCTGGGGAAAATCGTGGCTTCCCGTGTGGACCTTTGCTCCCCAACCGAGCCCTCACCGAGAGCCAGCCTGCTCCAAAGGCTGCAGCGAGTCGTCTTCCCGGGAAGCGAGAGCCCTCAGGCAAGCCGACCTGGACGCTCCACCGTGGGGGCGTCCACGCAGGCCACTAAGGGCCACCAGATTCATGATAAATGGACAAGTACATGAATAAATAAAACTTGAACTGGAAAAAATAAACAAATCAAGAATCCGGATGCATCCCGGAAGAAATTAAGATGCCATTTTAAAAAACCGAACATATACGGCAAGGGTCCAAATGCCCTGGGGGAAAAGAGCTAACCGCACGAACTCAGAATGCAGTACAATATCCTAAAGCGGTGGCTAAATATGCCAGCATTTAGAAAAGAAAAATAAAGAGTAAAAAAAAGTAGCAAAAACGAAAAGGAGACATAGAGCTTCAACATTCAACTAAGAGGCAATGCCGGCAGAAACAACAGCCAGGCTGTCGTTTCCTCTACTGAAGGCACAGTCTTCAAACGTGAAGAGTCTCAGCGACCCAGCACAGAGAAGGGCCGCTGACTACGTCCGCCTATCATTTTAGGGAAAATCTTAAACGCTTCTCAACTCCAAATTGAACATTAACAAACCAAAATTAGACCGGCATCACTCTTCCCATAAAGAACACTGAATGTTAGGAGACAATGGAATGATGAGTTAAAAATTCTGAGAGAAAATTATGTTGAAACTAGAATTTTAGTCAGATTACCAATTAATTGAAAGCACGGTTAAGCTGATCATGGCTCAGAAAACTTACCGCCCACATGCCTTTTCTGAGAAAAATATTACAGAATGTATGCCAATGACGAGGCTATAGAACACGCGGGAGGAAAACAGACGAGATCACCGAGGAGGGCAGTGACGTTCCCGAAGAGCAGCCGTGACACCGGTCTCAGAGATGGAGGCAGAAAGATGGTGGTGCCTAAGAATAGGGACGAGCTCCGAAGGCAATCGATGGCATGGTTAACCACCGGGTGACAGGCATTTGGGCAAGAAAAGTGAAGGGTCACTGACACTCCAGGACAGCGGAAGTACTGGACACGAGAGTCAAGGTCTCAGCGTGAAGCAACTAAAATCCAACACGATTCTGAACGAATGAAAGGCATCTATGTTAAAGGTGGTTTTGGTCATAATACTAGGAGCATTGAATTCCTATTGACAGTGAAATTTCAAAACAACAGTGCATCTGTCAAGTAATGCTAATTCTAGTTCCTCATCAGAGAGATGCCATCTTAGTCAATAATTGTAATCCAATTAACGGTTCGTCTGAAGATAGATAGATGAGAGAGAGAGAGAGAGAGAGAATACCAGGAGCCTTCTCCTGTTTATAATACAATTGCCTCATTCGTCTCACAAGCTCATGGCATTTTTATGCCCATGCATGCAGCTTTGTGAGACTCCATACTGCTATTTATTCTTTTCAATTTGCCACTTCAGTACAGCCTTGAGTTCTTGGCAGGAGCCCTGGTGGTGCAGCAGTTATGCCCTCGGCTGCTAACTGCAAGGTCAGCAGTTCGAAACCACCAGCTGCTCTTCAGGAGAAAGACAGGGCTTTCCACTCCCCTTAACAGGGACAGGCTCAGGAACTCACAGAGGCAGTTCTGTCCTGTCGGATCTCCAAGAGTCGGCATCGACCCGATGGCAGTGAGTTTGGTTTGCGTTGCTTTCTTCTAGTCCTGGGCACACAGGGGGGCAAACTGACAGCAGCTGGGCAGTCTCTGGGGGAGGCATTCACGTCCTCGACTGTTACCCAAAAGACCGGAGGTCTACATCAAGTTCAAGGCGCCTCGGAAAAAAGACCTGGCGATCCACTTCTGAAAAGTTAGTCCCTGGAACCCCCTGTGCACAGTTCTACCCTGAGCAGAGTCCTCTTGCAGCACCTGGCACTGGGATAGCCTGGCATGCCATTTTGGACAGCTTCCTATAGATCCTTTACCTAAAGTGAGCAAGTGAAGGTCCCACGACTATCTATTCTTCTATCTGAGGAAGTGATGAGCTAATTACTCCTCACTGCTTCCTACTTCCAAACCAATTATGTATTCATAACGAACATCTTTTCCTCAGTCACACTATCCCTTAGTCACTGAGCTAATTAGAGCGCGGGCTCCTTCCCACTGGCCGCGTGTGGGTTAAATCCTGATAGAGGATTTACCCTTTGAAAATGAAACCCCAGGCACTGTCACACCCCATGGAAGTCCACATTCCGGGTCCGCACCCATGCCCACCGCCCGCCCTTTACAAGCGACCAACCCCATCTGAACTGGAAATCCCTGCCTACTCCCCTTCTGTGACCTTGCTCCTGCAGATAAAGCATAAAAGCTACTCCCTACCCGACATTCGGGGCCCAGAGCTTCCAGAACACTAGTTCCTTTGGGTCAACGGCTAAAAAGTTCTCGAAGAGTGCTGCCCGATCATTCCCGAGCCACGATTTTGCTGTTACACTGTGAGGATCATGGTCAGTGGAAGGTGAAAGATGTGAGCTGACTGAAGTTGGCCGGCAGGTAAAGTGTCAGCACCGTAGCCATGCAGTGCCCGAGACAAGGAGACAGAGGCCCTTGCACATCTCGTGGGAAGTCTCCTGGGTCACCTGGCTGTGGGCAGTACAGGTGTGCATGTGGGAGCGGAGGGCAGAGAGATTATTCTGCCAGTAACCCGAAGCTCGGGGTCAGAGATGAGGACAGAGCCTGACCTATGACAAGGACCCGTGCCCCACCCCACCCCCCTGCCCCCATCCCCCTCCCCCCAGCCTCTCCTCCTAAAGCCACCAAAGCCCTTCATGAATGGCAAGTAGTGCGGTGCTCTGTGGTTCTTCTGGCCACGTGCATATCTGTTAGGTTGGCTTGCATATCGTCACCATCATCACACCCTGAATTTAACCCTTGCATTTCTGCACAATCCTTGCGTACATG